GTAGCCCGCATCCGTGCCTGCCGTGGCCGCAGGTGTCAAACCTGCCTCTCCTTGACATCCCAGACGTCCTCTTGCATTGGAGCAAAACCTTGGAGTGAAGAACAGCGCAGATGTTCTTGTCTTCTGATGCTGGAAGCATCCGGCCGAGAAACTCCAATGCATTCGGCCTGAGCCTGGACACTCCTGTGAAGCCAAAAAGAGTGAGGCGCGTGCACTGCACTTGCGCTGCATGTTTCTTGATGTGGCGAAGCTTATGTTCTGCTTTAGAGCATGGCTGGTTGGAGTAGGGTCCTAAAGAGAAATAAGCTTGGAGCATTTTGCAGCCATTATGGCTGAAGTGCTCCCCTTTAAAATTTTGCCCTCCCGGCCCACCCAACGAAGTGTCGACGGGTGACTGGGAGTCTCCCATATCGGGACCATCCTGCAGTTCTGTCTCCGGAGGAGTGAAGAACAGTGCAGATGTTCTTGTCTTCTGATGCTGGAAGCATCCGGCCGAGAAACTCCAATGCATTCGGCCTGAGCCTGGACACTCCTGTGAAGCCAAAAAGAGTGAGGCGCGTGCACTGCACTTGCGCTGCATGTTTCTTGATGTGGCGAAGCTTATATTGGAGTTGTTGTTGAATCCTCCCATTCCGTCTCAGGGAGGCTTGGGCCTCGCCTCAGCGCGCTACCTGCTGCACCAGTATTTCCTGCGCCACCACTCCTGGCCGCGTGGCTGTCCAATTATGGTCAACTTGTTGTCATGGCATCTGAGTTGTCAGATTCATGCGCAATCGTGCTACTCTGACCAATGTATAGTTGGTTGTGGCAAGGGTATTACCAGGCTTCTTTGCTTGGTGCTTTCGGAGGGTGTGGGCATTTGGGGTGCTGGTGAGAGAGGGTTAAGCGGGTTAAAGCTTGTGCAACGTCTTAAAACGAGAGCATGGTGTGAATGCACACTTCCAGAGCTCATGCAGCTGCATTCGCAGCTGTTTGGAGGAGTTGCAGGATGGACGATTTTATTCGTCCCAATTTGTCCTTTGTTTCTTGGCTCAAATCTTTCAGGCCATTTGTACATGCTTGGGTGCTTCAAGGCAGGGATCGTCAAATTAGCTCGACGCCATGGTGATCCCAACCGATGTAGACCCAATGCTTCGAGAGCAGCTCAAGGTTGGTGCTCAACGAAGGACCGTTTGGCGACACCGTCTTGAAAGCGACGGATGGTCAGCAAACCGGGTGCCTCGCCTTTGGACACAATTCTATCCCTCTTGCGTTCCTCTTGAGGACTTTGCGATGGGGGTCTAGGTGGCTTGTTGAAGTATCCTTGAGCGAAGAACGTTGCCCCTGACAGGCACATCGCCTTTTTGGAAGTTCGCTGCCCGAATTTAGCCAAGAAGGCCGAGAAGGTGGAGCGGCCTTGCAAGGAGACCCTTGTGAACAGACCTGACTTGTTGTTTGAGGAATTGAACGATTTTGCGTAAGTAAGCAGACATTTTGGGAGCTGTGATCAGGCGGTGGTTAGCTGTGGAAAGCTTGAATTATCAGAGTGCAGCTTCACTGCATGTTTCAGTTCCTTTTGTGCCAGGATGATCACCAAGACAAGCGCCCCAAAGTGCGGGAGACTGAAGATGATGAGTTTGTGATTCTGATGCCCGACGTCAACGTGATGACGCTACGCAACCTGCTTCTCTTTGTCTACACAGACCATCTGCCCACCTTCAGCGAGGACGGCGTTATTGAAGCCATCGAGTTGATGAAAGTGGCACAAGACCTCTTTCTTCCGCCTCAAGGCATTCCGAACCATGAAGCATGCTCCATGCGACGGTTGTATGCTATGTGCGAAATGCACTTGCATACCGCAATGAGCCCATTCAATGTGGGTGACATTCTTTGGGGAGCTGTGAAGATTGGCTCCAAGAGGCTTGAGAAGGACGCTTACGCAGGACTTGCAAGGATGAAGCCAATGACAGATGTGGATTGCAACAAGCGCTTGATCCAAGCATTGGTCAGGGATCCAGATCTTTTGGCTCTTGCAATGTCAGCAGCGGCAGGAAACAATAAAGCGCTCGCAGGGGAAGCGCCACCGGATTTTAGCCAGAGCATTCCCACGCCATCAATGCTCAGAGACCTCCGACATTTGCTGCGTAAGGCCAGAACAGCAGATTGCAAGCAAGTTGATGACAGTGATTACGCTGACTGCCGTTTGATTGCTGCTGGGCCTTCAGAAGAGAGAGGCCTGGCTGCACACCGCTTTATACTTGCAGCACGTTCAGAATACTACTCTACTTTGCTGTCAGCTCCAATGGAGGAAGCAACCACTCGACAGATCAGAGTTTCGCTCCAACCAGCACCCAGTGTCCCGAGCATGTTGGCATTGCTTAACTATCTCTACACGGGGGAGGTAGATGCAACTGTTGAGGGTGGAGATGCCGATGCCCCTATGACCCCTTCCAACTGGCTCGACGTTCTGTCCATGTTGGATGGCCTGGGAGGTACTCTTGCTGAGCGAGCGAGCATCAAATTACGAAGCAAGACTTTGTCCTTTCTGCAATCCAGTCTTGGAAGCATGGAGAGCAGTGAATGTTGGATGCTGCTTCGTGAAGCAAGCATCCGCCAAAACCCATGCGTGCAGTCTATGGCTATGGCTTGTGTCATGGACGATTGCACAGCGGACAAGTGCGCAGATGCTGCCAGTTTTGCTGGATGGAAGCAGATGCCAGACCTCGATTGGTGGACGCCGGCCATGGAGTCTGACTTGTTTCGGCAATTTATGAATTGGTCGTTCAAGAAAGCCACTGGAAAGCCTACTGGCCATGTCGACAATGCTTCGTATGACAAGTGGACTCTCGTTGTCACCAATCCTTGGCGAAATTATAATCCCCGACACCAGTACAACTACAGCAACACTTCTGAAGGCAACAGCTATCTCGTGTCAATCGAATCTCTGGTGGGCTGTGGCTGCTCACAGAATGGCTTGGGATCCATTGAGGCACACTTCGACCAACCCATCTATGTGGACCACATCCTCGTGGCCCCGCTTGAGCATTGGGGCCCCGCGCGCCTAAGCGCAGCTGTTGTTCAGGTGATGTCGGATGACGGGCAGTGGGTCACGGTGTGCGATAAGCTGAGTGGGAGCATGGAAGCTGTCTATGTTTGTATGGTAGCTTCAAAGTGGCGGCTTCATGGCAACTACATTGCAACATCCCTGTTCAAATTCATGCCTTGAGGGGTATGATTGAGCTGTCGCTGTCTTGACCTATTGATGCATGAGAAGGATGCGTGACAGAGGATTGTGCAGTGCAGGGTGGGCCTGCAAATTTGAAAGACGTGGAAGATAGTAGACGTAAGCCCACTTGGAGATGCAGCGGCAAAAGGTGCGACCCGACTGAGAGTGGAAGCTGCTACCCCAAGCGAACACCAGTTGTTGACAGAAGAGCTTGCAAGCTGAAGGTACGTCCGCGGCTTGAATCCAGCTGGAGATGGCCGCCAGCCTCCTGACCACAAGGACGGTGGTGGACTTGTTCAACTCGCTGGCGCGGAAACTTTCTCCGTGGAAGGAAGCCTTGCGCAGCAGGGTGGCTGGGCATCTGCTGCAAGCACTTGACTTACGGATCCACGTACTTTATGTACTGATGTTTGCCTGGTTGATGGCGCTTCTTGCTACAACTCGTGCCAAGGTCCTGGAGCAGAAGGCGCCCACACAGCGCAATAAACCGAAAAGAAGTCAGTACTCGCAGACTGCACGCAGACTTCATGCCACTTGCAGAATCTGCAGCTGCGGAGGTGGGATCTGGCCTTAATCTTAAGACCTTGGCTCCTCGCCGGCAATGTGCACTTTGTGCATGTTCTGCTTTCGCTTTGCGTGTTGCAACTGCTCAAGATCATCTTATCTACCATTTAGATCCATGTACTGATGAGCCAAGACGGTCTTTGTCGCTACGCTGGAGCACCTACTTCACGGAGACGAGCGACCCTTCAGCTGCGTGTCAGTCGGGCAGGTTTCAAGTCCTAGAGCCATCTTTCTTCCGCACCCGTTGTTGGGGAAGCGGTGCTGTATCAAAATGCCACTTCTGTGTGACTATTAGCAAGGACAGCGTCTGAAACAGAGCTGGACGGTGCATGACTTGAACCAAGAGGCAAGTGTGCATGAATCTTTTCAGTCCCTGACAGAATCACTGAGAAGAGTTTGCTCCGCTGTGCAGGATGTCACCGACGCAGCTGGCCTGGAGAGTGTCCTTGTCTCTCGGTAGAAGGATGTCAGTACCCCCAGACCCTTAAACTTCTTAAACCCTTAAACTTCTGAAGCCCTACGTAATGTTACAGAATCATTAAACCAGCTCCTTTCCTGAGGAAGTCTTCATGGCCCACTACGTGTTTGTCAGCCAAAAGGCTGACAGTGGCTATGCCTTGACCCTGCAGAAAGGCAGGGAGGAGGTTGCTTTCGTCAACCGCGTCTATGAGGCTTGGCTTGCAGTGCGTCAGCATTTGCTGAAGCTAGTTTGCTTGGTGGCAGCTTCCCTGGTTCCACCAGACGTCGTGCTTTTCACTGAGGAAGGCTGGGGCAAAATCCGAGACTCCATCGTCAAGGAGATTCAGAACCGGGTGTCTCTGTCAGGCCACTGGCGCCGAAATCGGTTTGGGTCACGCGCCGTCCCATCCATGTGACTATGTATGTAGTGTGTCAAGCTCAGCAGCAACCTGTGCAGGTGCTGATCTTTCTTTCGAAGATGCTGCGGCAGCTTGCGAGAAGGTGGGCTTGGCAGAAATGTGACACCTGTAACTGCTATTAGAGGCTTTTGCCTGGTACAGGTGCTTGAGAGCTTCCGTGAGGTTTCAGGAGCCATGTGCGCCTCGGATGAATTCAGTGCAGTTGTGCAAGAGTCCCAACACTTGGTACCTCCAAAAGGTGCCCAGCCAGAAATTGAAAGAGTCCCCTGCTAGAATCCCCAGGTCTCAAGCACCTTGCCCTGACCTCTCACGGGCCATCCAGCATTACCCATCATGACCTCCTCACACTCTGCCTCTAGGATAGGAACAAGCTTTGAGTTTTGGTTCTTCTGGTCTGGTTCAGCTTGCCACTAGCAGATGCCTTCAAGACAATAAAACCTAAGCACGCAAGAAGTCCAGGCACCAGTATGGCCAAGAGCCTTGCCGCGCTGCCTGGTGGAAAGGAGGGCAAGGCCCAATGCAGTTGCGTGCATGTAGCAGCGTAGCTCTTCCATGCAGGGCCCCTAAAAAGGCCAAAAGGTTCCTCTGCTTCAGGTGGGCCTTGCCACCATGCGGAAGGGTGACCTTTTCCGTGACTTGGGCAAACAAGGCTGTGCTGTGTCCTGGAGAGCCAGAGCGTGTAGAAAGCTTTCACCCCGCAGCTGCCTGACCCATCCTGATCCCCCGCCAGTCTGCTCTGCTGCTAAATCAATGTGCCTTGCATGGGAGGCTAAGAATCTGGAAAGCCAAGGAGAGACCACAGACTACCTGCGGATGGCGGGTGCGCTGGACGAGCAGACGCCGTCCCAGCCCGTGGTGCTGATTCCCAACTACATGTGACCTTGTCCAAACTTTAGATCTTCCCTCGGAGCGCAGGGGATGCTAAAGTTTGCAGGGTATTGTGGTATAGTTGAACCAAGCTCTCGCCCAGGCTTGCGCCTTCAAATTGTGACGGGACCACAAGCACCTTGGCGGTGAAGGATTTCTGCTGGCCGATAAGCACGGCATCTCACATGCAGATGGCTGAACTTGGCAGTCCTAGGGGTTCTGTCGTTAGCTTGCCATATTTCGCGTTCCACCTCGGTGCATATAATTTTCACACCTCAGTGCAGTGATGTGGAGCTTGTCACATTTGCATCCCTGGCAAGGTTTCTACGACCTGTGCTGCCCAAACACGTGCGAAGGCGGGGCTCTCACGACGAGGATACTGCAGCTTGTTTGCTAGGCCGCAACTCCTCTTACTTCCCAAGCCAATAGTTGCACGCCATTTTCGGGGATTCGAAGTTCACGGCTGCAAAAGCCACTAGCCCGGAGGTTCAAAGCAAGGACCCTCTCCACGTTCACTGATTTATTTGCATGACAATTACTTGGCTTGCACGGGAAGGATTCTGTCGGTTCGGAGGGACGGATTGATATGCAATGTTCGAGACATTTGGCATGTTCATGCAAGAAATCATCATGCTTGCGGGTAGCACATTTTTCGGGAGTCCTGTGAGCCAAGCCTTTCGCCATGCAGGCCACAAAGCCCAATTCGAGGCTGCTATTGCCGATGGTCAGGACGCCGAGGCGATTCAGGCACTGGCAGTTGAGATCCGAGGCGCGCAGGGAGCTGGGAGAGCGTGTCGACTGGGTAGTCCATTCAGGGTGGGGGCTTCCAATTCTTTGATACCAGTTTGCAAAATTCCCGGCTGCCCCAGTATTCCTGAACACCCCCAGACCTAAAGCGTCCTAGCTGCCTTAGAAACAGTGCAAAATTCGCAACAACTTGGACAGAAAACGGAGAGCATGGAAGTTTGGGAGGAATCCAGCCTTGGAGCACTTGAGCCCAATTTGACACGGCTTTGTGTTTTGCAGCATATCAGATTCGCAAGCTTCTCCCGAGAATGAAGGGTAGCCTTCCCCTCAAATTAGCAAGTGCAAATGTCTCCGTCTAAAAAACTGGCTACCCAAGCATGGCAATGCTTTGGTACAACGAGCGACCGAAATGTCTCCATCCAGCTCCATGATGCAAGCCAGGATGTCAACTGTAGTCATAGTCAGTAACTGTCAGGTGTATACTCAGCAGCCTGAAACCAGTGTAAGCATTGGTTGAGGCTTCTCATGCAAAGGGGCACAGTAGTCAGGGCTCCTGACTGTGCGGCTCACCGTCAAGTCGTGTGCCACTTTACCGTGTGGGTGCTTGCGCATGAGATCTGAGCTCTCTGAAGCGAGCTCAGGCGCCGCGCTCACGCCAGTCCAAGTGCGCGCGCTGAAGGATCTCGCGGAGGATGGAGCAGCCACTTGGCGTGCTCAGGGTCCGGGATTGAGGTTGGTCACTTCTGGGGGCCCATCCGTAGGCTTGGCACCAGGTGATGCTTCATGGCCGTCAGTTTGCGCAGTGCTGGCCTTAGCCGTCTCAAAGCAGCTTGGATGCGGTCGTCGCGTTTGCGCAGGAGAGGGAGAGAGCATTGTGCTTTGTGTTGCCTCAGGTGGCTTCATGAGACCTTTCCGAGCGACTGCCCGCGGCCCGTGGCCGAGGAGTTCCCAAGTGCAGAGGCTGCAGTGCCAGACGCACACCGAGACTTCCAGAAGGCTGCCCAGGCTGGGTGCCCCCAAAGGTTTGTAATAATTGTAGTGCTCCATCAGGGGAGCAGCCAACGGAGTCCCACTTTCTCAGGCGGAGTCCCTCTTCGAGTGGTAACTGAACCGGGAACCGGAGTAGACTGCAACGCGCTGCAAAATGGTAAAATCGTGCTGGCACGCATTGTGACATGGCCTTGTCCCAGCAGTCGCTACATTGGTCCGTGCTGGCAGGACTTGGGATGCTGCAGGTTTGCCCATACTCTCGAGGTGATGAGCGGTTTTTGAAAGGACTTTGTTTCACTGTGAATTAATGCATTGTAAAGGGTGCCGTGCTAGCCAGCCTGAAAGAAGGCTGAAAGCGCGGCCTGTTGTTGCAAAAGAGGAGTTAACCTGAAAGCCAAAGTGCTCGAAACTGCAGACTGTTGTGACAAAGGCTTCTGCTTTCTATCGCTTCTCCTGGTGACTGGCGGACTAGCAAGACCGTAAAAGATCTCGAACGTGTTGCAACTCTCCTGGTTTTGGATGTCCAAAACTTGCAAGCTAGAACAGGTGTGGGCTGGCCCTTCCACTGCAGAGAGGGAAGAAGGCTCGTCGAGCTTCACATCCTGGCAAAGGGACAGCAGCGATGTGTTTATTGCAAATAGAGTGGAGCGCATTCCTTTGTCTAGCAGCCCCGTGTCAGCCAAACGTGCTTGAAGAAGTGCTCGAGGCGACCTTCACCAAAGCACTGTCTGGCCTCATGTCAAAGAACAACATGAAGGCCCAGATGCACCTGTTGCAAGCGTATGTGCTCCAGTCTTCAAGCGCGCTAAGTTTCATGATGCCCTCACTTGATTTGAGCTGCTGGGCCGTGCGGCAGAAGTGTTGGAAGATCAGAGCCCACTCTTTTCACCAAATTGCTTGTACAGGTCTCTGGTGCGCTCGGTCAGGCAGGATGGATACACACTTGGAGAGAGAGGAGAGAGGGAGAATTTGGGCGAATGTAGTCCAGCCCTCTGATTGAACCCTCTGGCCTCGCCAGTACAGACCAGGACTGCGCGGACCTTTGGGGCTCGGGGCAGTGCCCCGGCTCACCCGTAGGGGTGGGCTTAGCCTGCAGAAGAAGAAGAAGAAGAAGAAGAAAAAGAAGAAGAAGAAGAAGAAGTGAGAGCAAAAGAAGGAAAGAGCAATCACACGCTTTGGGCCGTTTGGCCTAGAAATGGATGGGAGCTGTGAGAGCAGACGCGAGTAGGCCGCAGCTTCGGACCTGGTGGCTGAACGCGGTTTCCTAGCTCGTCGGGGGCTGAGCACGAGGTCATCATGCTTGGAGGAGCTGTGGACTGCAATGGATTCAGCAAAGGCTGTGGCGAGTGGGGCCTCATTGGCCTCGTCAACGGCCAGGGCAGCCCAAAGCGCAGTGCACAGCTTTTTTGGGGGAGCGCGTTCCGAGCTTGCATTCAAGCCTGCAGCCCAAACTAGGGTGTCTGGCGCCCTGGCCATGTACATCGCCCAAGAGATGTGACAGCCTCTGATTCGTCTTGCGAGCTGTCATCACTAAGCATGCCAGGCTTGATTCTCCAATTGTCGAGACTGCTTTTGCAGGCCGAAAGCTATCTTTCAGAGCCCTGCATTCGTCAACAGCTTCAACGATGTGGCCAAAGCCTTACATCTGCTTGGGCAGTTCGGACTTGCTTTGCTATGCTGATGTCTGCTTGGATTGAAGGCGCAGGGATTGACGGACGCCTTTGCCAAGGCCGGTAATGATGCAGAATGTTTCCTGCAGGCTCTGCCCTAGACGTGGGGAATGCGTGTTGCAGGTCCATACTGCTGCAGCGATGCAGCTAGACGTAACACTCACAGGTTGGGCAGGGATGTGTGTCAGAGGCTTCCTGGCAAAGCCGGCATGGTCCACTTCTGAGGAGCTTCGGTGACGGTCGTTCTCCTCAACAAGGAGCATCACCCCAAGCATCTTCCAAGTCTGCCACTCCAGTGCCACTCCAATCGACATAGCGGCAAGACCACGTGATTCCGCGAGCTCAGGCATGTGTGGATAGCCCATGTGGGTGACTGCCGCTGTGTGCTGGCTGCTTGGACCTCAGCATGTTCAAATAGTGCCAATGGCCTGCACTTTGAAGCTCACAAGGTCCCTGACAACGGTGGCAATGCCCGTGAGTTCCACATGCTGCCCCAGCGCTTGACGGAGGAGTTTTGGGGTGAAAATTCACGGATGCCGCCCTTTGACCCTTCCTCTGAGAGCTGTAGTAATTAGTGCCTTTCCAAAGATCAAGTTACCTTAGCCCAGCCTCAGGCCAGCCAGAACTCAGTGCTGAGACGGCTTCCAGCAACTGTTGGCAGGATCACAAGCTCTGCGTCAAGAAGGAGTTTGATCGAACAAAGGCAGCCTTCATCATGTCAGTCGCAGAGCGGGCCCGCAATCTTGTCAACTCTATAAAGTCCCACCCAATCTTAGACGACAAGCCACCGAAAGCAGCTAAAAGTCTGGGAAGTTGCCTTGGTGCCAGGAGGCAGGAGCTGAGGTTCGGAAACTCGTGCTGTGGCTGCAAATACGAGAGGCCTCGCAAAGGCTTGGTGCGTAATTCCACTCAAGCTGGAAGCACCCCGCATAAAAAAGCTATAGGCTGCGCCGTTTACAAGGAGCGCATGTTTGAAGTTCCGTGTTAGTTCGGGAAGGGCAACATTTAGTGGGATGCGGGAAGCCAGCCATGCAGCAGCAGTTGCTGATAATGCCGAATTTAGATAGCTCAAAGGCGTTGCGGATGATGTCGTTGGTGAAAGAGGCGGTACTTCAGTGTTCAGCTTTCCAGATGAAGAGAGTGTGTGAATTCGGGAAGAAGTATCTGAAGCTGAAGCTTCTAAGGTCCATGACAAGGTGTGTCGCCTCTTTGTGGGCGAGACCAGCTACCCCAGCCAGGTGCCTAAAGGTCTCGCTATGAAGCGCAGCCTGAAAAGCAGTTTCTCCCTAATTTTCCAAGGCTTGGCGGTGACCCGCGGCCTAGGCCATCGCTTGGCACATACTGCCAGAACCACAGGGAGCGCGGGTGGTTCCGTGCATAGAAGAACATCCAATCGTTGTTGTATTGTGGCGGCTGGAGAGGAGTGTTTATCTCCCCCACTTCTGGCCTGCCATGTTGAGGTTGGGGTCATCCACAAGCCCAGCATTTGCAAGTTGGTGCGCAAGGATATCAGGGCTTGTGCTACTTGAGCTGTGAACCCAAGACTCAGCAAAGTATCTGCCAGGATCTTCCGGAAGGTAGCTACATGCTGCTTGGGTGCTGGGCTGAGCAGGGCAGGGCAAGAGATGGAGCCTCCGCAGCTCTTCTGAAAAGTTTCAAGAGGCAACTCGCATTCGTACACATCGCAATATTAGCCAGTTGTGAACTGCTAGCTGCTCCGGAGCCATGGCACGCGCAAAGCAAAGCAATTTCTTCTGAGGAGTGGAGGCGTGTGGGCAACAGTCTCAGACGCGACTGCCGTGAACTGGGTACAAAGGCGGGCCTCATGGAGAAAGCCATAAGAAAACCAGAGTTGTTGCAAGCTCCCCGTTTTGGATTCCAATCTGTCAGGAATTTGGATGAGCCGCAGCAAGCCGCGATGTCTCTGGCGCACGAAGCCATGAGCCGCTGGCAGGCCAGAGGTCCTGAGCCAGGTTTTCAAACAGGTTCCCTAAACCCTAAACTTCCTAAACCCTAAATATGAACCCTAAACTTCCTAAACCCTAAATATAAACCCTAAACTTCCTAAACCCTAAATATAAACCCTAAACTTCCTAAACCCTAAATAGACCCATCATGGGATTTGTCAACTTGCGCGCACACGCGTCAGGAGCCTGGCAGCCTGGCAAAAGGCCTGCCCCTTGCTTTGCTGAGAGGAACTCTGAGTACATGTTACTTTCGGTTGGAAGATCTGACGTAACACGATGGAGCGTGGCGCTGGCGAGCTGGGAATTTGAGTGAGGGGTGTTACTTGGAGTGGTTCTCCTCATTTTGTTTTTAAGCAGGGGTTCTGCTCTGTTTTGCAAAATTTCGAAGGGTCAGGGGCCAATTCGGATGTGCAGGCAACTTGAACGCCTACATGCAGGAAGCCGAGCAAACACAGCGCAGCATGCCAAGCTGTGCAAAGTCTGACCTATGGCCGCTGCGCCCAAGGCCGGACTGTTTTGGAAGCTTTGTGATCCAGCTGGCTGAAACCAACGAGGACCGGTCATCACGATAGGGAGGACCATTAAGGAGTCCGTTTGGGCACTGCACGGCCAGGAACCGCGCGCAATCGCTGCTCGCAAGTTTGACGCTTTGGCGCTTGTTCTCTTGAAGATGCGGTTCAGCTGGATGTGCGTCAAAAGATCAGCCAGCTTTTCCTTTCCGATGCCAGGTTCCTGGAGGTGAGGACGTCGTTAAGCTGCCCTGGCGCGAGGTGGCACAGCGGAAGAGCTTGTTTTAGAGATGATGGAAGACCTTTATTGACCAATAAGAGGTGAAGTCACCAGACCGGCCAAAGCAGCTGAGGCCTCCGTTTTCAACGAACAACGTGTAGGAGTATGATTTCAAGCCGTGTTTGCTCGTTCTGGTTTTGAAATTTTGCTTGTTTCATGACAGGCTTGCTGTGACATGACACGAACGAAGCCTGATGGGCACTGCCAGGCAGATCATGGTCTTGGCAACGCCAAGAGAGGGGCTCGCAGCCCGTGTGATGGACATACCGAGCAGCGGGCGCTAATTGGCCGCCCGTAGGGGGATGGCCGCTGCCAAGGAAACAACAAATTCACAATGAACTTGTGTACCGTTGCAGCGGCTGCACCCATTTGATAATGACTGGCATGTGGACCATGCACTTTCGCAGTGTCATGCTTGTTTACACCAACAAGCTGTGTTTTGGGTTGTTCTGGTTGCACATGCGTCGCGCAGGATCCTGCGACAGGCTGCTCAAATGGCAACCTTTTAGCTCTGAGACAGGCAAGGCGTCGAAAAAGTGACTTGCCTTCCAGAGCATCCGGAATCTGAGATCCGAAGGATCTCTGATAGGAATGGCTGCGCGGCAAAAGAAAGAGCAAGGTGGAAACCTTGGACCAAGCATCGTGACTCGTCTCGGACCATGTCCTCAATGTGTGAGGAGCATCAGCGAGGGATGCGTGGCGGTGTCGAAGGCGCAGGCTCAGCCCCTACTGCTGCATGACCACATGCATGTTGCTGACACATTCAACACCTGTAGTCTAGATTCTTTATTGCCGCAAGGTACTTCTTCCAAGGGTGTTTCCCAGCTCAAGGATTCTGCAGTAGAGTTTGAACGGGAAGAGTTTCGGGCCTTGACCGTCGAGTATAGCAGCCAGCCAGTTCTTGGGAGTTATTGATCTGGACCGTGTGCGTGTACAGTGCAGACTGACTTTTGGAAACACCGGGCGAAGACACTGAAGAACAAACGCCACTGCGGACGGATGTCCAATTATGCGTTCCTTCAGACAGCAGAGTCGCAAAGGTGCCAAAAAGCAGGCCGAGGTGTCACAACGTGTGAAGGAAGCGAGTGATGCAGGCGAGAGCAGCGTCGTGGTCAGCACGATGGGGCAAATTCTTCGTTCAACGTCCGCCTCTTTTGACTCTAGCTTTGGCAAGTACCGAGTGCGCAGGGTTTCGGTTGGAAGGCTGATTTATGCCGTTCAGCCTTGATAGGCCGGTGCCGCATCGTGCTGATCAGAACGATACGCGGCCATTGGAGGGTGCAAACGGAAGAGCGACTTTTCAATTTGCGAGGGTGGATGAAGCCAGGATCTGAGGAGTTAGGGGGATTGCGCAAATTCGCGAGGAGTACCATGATGGCGATTTGAGGCTGTCTCCTTACGACTCTTAAATGACTTTCCCGTACTCCCCTGAGAGCCAGTGGCGTTCTAATGCTGGGTCCAAGTGCCAAGACGTACGCGTGACGCAGCACGCTTGTGTGCCGTAGGTTGGTACCACACCGGTCTGCGTGCTTTTGGATTGAAGCTGTATGCTGTAACTGTAATTGGTTATATGAGCTATAGTCTAAAATCCTTAAAGGGGTTTATATAGTGGATGATACAGGGGACTTTCATAGGGGTTATTCAGGGGGATACTAGACTATAGCTCATACAATACAGAGTAGTTCAAGTCCTGCTTGAATCTTCATCAAGACAGGCTTCAGGCTTGACTCCCTGATGAACAGGCTTTGATGGATGCGGTTGTCTGCGGACACAAGTCCTACAACGGAATCCGGGATGAGTCACTTGGTTGCAAAATAGTCGAGGGAGTTCGCTACCCTCCCGCAGCACGCCAGCAGCAGTCAACTGCATCAACTTGCATTCCTGAAGCCTTTATGCTGTCCGACTACAAAGGCTGTACATGCTTTACGAGGAGGCTGGCTGCCTGCACAAGCACGGTTTTGATCAAGTTGATTGCCTCAGACTTGGTCCCCATCGGCATAGATGTTGACATGTTGGCCTGACTTGCGTCGAGGATCATGATTCCTATGCCTATGCGAACAAATCTAAGGATAAGGAGAGTGGGATGAGGCGGTTTGAGGAGGCATGCAGGAGTTAGGCTATGTGGTGCTTTCGTAGTTGCAATACTTCTTTGCCTCATCCATGAGCGTGTATCCAAACTTGGTAGTCCGGACCTAAGCAGTGATGGTCGTTCTTTTACCAGTTAAAGTCATGCAGAATGGCTCGAAATCAAGGCTGCGTTTTGACGTGACTGTCCAATTCATCCCTGTCAGGTTCCTGGATGTGAGCCGTTAGGTGCCATGATCCTTCACTTCAAGCAGAAGTGAGTTGCAAAGCTCCGTGATCCAGCTACTGCCGTCTACGACTGCAACCTACTCGCTGTCATTTTTACGTGTGCATTGTTGGAACTTGCTGGCGCCGCTGAAAGACTCCAACTACAAGACAGAACACGGATCGTCATGTGTGCCCTCGGATCAAAGAATCCTGGGTCCTGGATGCGGACAGCCGCATCATGAGCTCTTGAACTCCACTCGTTCCAACAGCTGCTCAGGGATCAAGTGCCTGAAGTTGTAGACACATCATGTCAAGGCAAGCAGCCCCATGGTTAGTATCTAGAATCACTCGCGTGATTGTTGATTCAAGAAGCACCTGTCAAGACTTTGGCCTTGATATGGCAGTGTCTGCTGATGAGGACGGCCAGGTAAGTACGGCTTCTCTTCGTATTTGGTTGTGTAGCCCACCTTGCAGGACCTGGTTGCGCAGATTTCGAAGCTCAAGCAGGAACTTCCGCCACTTCAGCTCGAGGGGGAGGAAGGTGTTTCTGCTGGCTGTTGCCAGGAGCTGAAGACGAAGAAGTCCTTCGCCAACGCCCGCGCCCACCTTTGCAAAAGCCTTCAGCGTATGACCTTTTCAGTCCATGTAGGCTTGTGCGCAGCTGACACAGATCTCGGAACAGTGGAGCCAGGACGCTGCTGAACCGTGTGCTGGGCAGAAGCATCTCGTAGCTACTTGTGCGAGCATGTGCGATTCCTCAAAGCCTGCAAGATTGATGGTATGCATGTACCCCAACCACAGCCCCCCAGAGTTTTGACCAACCGTGAGTCCATGTGTTGTTGAGCTTGTCTTTCAAGGCCGAATCAATCGTGTTTGTATTCAACATGTGGCATGCGCAAGGACGCACCAGACCCTAGCCTGCAAGCTCTGCAGGAGGCCCATAAGCAGGTTGATGACTGAAAGCCAGGGATGCATGTCTAGCCGTGCTCAGGCCATGTGAATCCATGTCTGCCGGAGGCTGCAAAAGCTGCCTTCACAGTGCTGCAGACTCGCTTTTCCAACCCAAAGCTTGCGACCCAGAGAGGACTGAGAGAGTGGAGTCGTGTGAGGTCGTGTCAGGTCCTGTCTTTTGCAGCTTGGTCTTTGCGCTTTGCTAAGCTTTGCTTTGAGGTTCTGGCAAGCCGGCCTCGACCTCTTCCTCGCTCTCGAGTTCCACGTGCCTGCCATCACAGATGCCAGCAACCGGCTCAGCAGACTCCTCTTCTCTTCTTTTGCTCCTGTCGGCCCTGTGCGCAGAAGCTGAGGCAAGTGGCGTGATGCTGCGCTGGAGGTGGGGCTGCATGTGCTTCGACACCCAGCAATTATAATTTTGACCAGCGCAAAGCCTATAATGCTGGCATCGGATGCGATCTGTGTGGTCGACGTCGCCATATTTCATCATGTGCACGTCTTGTAGGAGGTCGACGACGCAGCGCGAGAGCGAGCAAAAGAACAGGCTGGACTCCAACAGTGTCTTTGTATGGGCATGTGTTTCTTTGACGCCAGTCTTTGCAATGAGTCTGCAGGGAACGTCCGGAGTTTTCAAAGGATTCTCAGTTCTTGAATCCTTAGGCCCAGGTGCAAGAAGCCCCTTCCCTCCAATTAATAGACCCAAAAGTCTCAAGGCTTGGATACAGCTACATATATTTTATGTACGTATATATCCAATGTCAGCATGCAATTGTAGAGCTAAGAAGCTAATATCATGTGAGTTCACGTGGACCTCCTACTTGCAAACTGAGTAATCAATATGGCAGGCTCGTCTCCGCCGTCTTCAGGAAGACAAGATGCACAACAAGGGCCGATTCAGCCAGCTTCCCAATTCTCCAGACATCTCCCAGCACGATTCTGTTAACCACTTAGAACAAGCTTTGCTGTTACCTATCTTTCTGAAGCTGCGAACCTGAAGCCTCACAGTAGGGATGAATCAGCGTAGACAAGACTACGGGTACATCAACGAGGCATGGACTTTGCTTCACTTACCAACCAATAACCAACAACGTATTCTCTTGCGCAGAAGCACCATGCTGTCATGTTGCACCTTGTGGAAGCTCCTTGTCGGCCGGACGTGGCTCAGGTGATGCAGCCACACCGCTGACCCTCGGGGAGCTTCTGGCCTCTCAAGGGATGGTTCTGGTCGAAGAGGCCTCAAGCAGATCCAAGTGATCCAAGACAATGTGTTGAAGTTCATGGTCCTCATCTCCAGGATGATCGCCGGCCGGGAATGTCGCGGGATGCGCGTGCAGAGCTTCGCGTAAAGACCGTGCTAGAGGAGGCCGTCTGCAGTTGTCACAGGGCATTCGTTTTAAAAGGTGCTTTGCGCTCGTTTTGTACGACGGCAGACTTGGGTCATCTTGCATCGCATCTCTCTGATTTGCCTCAGATTTCGCATGTAACTGAAAGCCACTCAGTGCGAAGTGCTTTGTTGTCTCAGGACGTCTGCGTCGTGTGCCAGGAAGTGATGCCTGCAGGCCACCTATGCAGGGACGTTTCAGAGCATACTTGCAGTTTCTGCCTAAGTAGACTAAGTGCCCCAACTATACCTCTCCTCCGAAGGGTCATTTGTTAGAAACACGCTCTGACAGTGTGTGCACACTGTATGTTGGAGTATATAGAGGAACCCCAGTTTACCTGCCAGGCTCCAAGGCCAAGGCCATGCCATGCGGGCACCTTTTCCATGATGAGTGCTTGCTCTCATGGGTTCCTTGGCCTTACTCAGGCTTTGATTTGTGTGAGAGATGTCGCTCTGCCTGTCCAAGCATGTTTAGGTGAAGAAGAGCAATTCATGCCCCACTTGCCGCTTCGACGACATGCCAAGCGAGAAGCGTCACTACGACGATGCCCGGACCTCACTCGAGCTGAACAGGCCGGAAGGCGTGAGAGCCAAAGCCATGTCCCGGCACATTCGCTCTGAAGCCTTGCCAAAAGCAAGGTCCAGCGGCAAGTGACGCAAAGACAGCCGGGGCTGTACTCCTGAAGACGGGTTGCAAAATGATGTCGCACCTGTGCAGAACCTGTCTGTTTGTTAGTGCTACCGTGCGTCTGCCTCGGCAACCTTGCTGATTCCTAAACTCGTGCAGCACCACCCAGAGTAGCATACCAGGAGCATCAGGATGGAAGCTGGCTGCGTGTAACGCTGGTCCTTGTGAGTTTTCTCTTCCTAAGCTGCTGTCCAAATCTCAAGGCCCATGGTGTGTTACGCATGCAATCTGTAGCCAGCATCAGTAAAGGATCCTTTCCGTCTATCCACTTCTTGCAAATTTTCCCTGAGATCACTCCCCGCGCACAGCAAACCGAAGGATCTCCTCGTGTTAGTTTTGGAATAGATGTGCAGGGGCATGCAGGGGGGCTCAGGCGGCGCTGAGGCGCGGCAACTAGCAGTCCTGGGACCCATCCGTGCGATGGAGTTGACCCTGCTGCGGCGCCTGAAGGAGCATTCAGATTCCTTGCTACTTGTCACGTCCACTTTGTGAGCAGTGCGCCTGAAAGCAAGAACAGGCCTTGCGTATGTTCGACTTGCATGATGCTGCGTTGGGTGCTACGAGAAGGTTACTGGCAACTTTGGTCACAATTGCTGTAATGCTGCTGAAGCACGCCTTGTCAAGAGGAGCTTCATGCACCACTTCGACACTAGAGGATGTCGTGGAGGCACGAGCTCTGGCGTTGCAACAGAGAACTTGTGCATACGTTCTGACAGCACTGCAAGTAGCTCAGATAGTCTAGCAGCCGCAGGAGAGTTTTGTTTTATGGCAGTACTTAAATCATCAGGGGAGACAACTCGATACAGCTACTTGTATGTGAGTGCTATGTGGAATGTGCAGATCGACTTCTGAAGCCAATGCATGAGAGTACTGAGCTGTGGCACTCCTCTGTTGATAAGCTGGGGGGTCTAGCCATTGCATTTTTGTTCGTTGAGATGTGCGGCTCCAGCTTTCCTGAAGCAATATAGCAGCAGCTTGATCATGGGAAGCTCGAGCTCCAAAAAGCATGGCTGCCAGTGGACAGGATGCGTCACTCTGAAAGAGCTTGCCCAGGATGAGCTTTCGGTGCGGCAAAATCCCCGGAGGGAACAAACAGCTCGCTTTTGCGCTGAGAAGCTGGAGAAAGTGCAGATCATCTCTCGACCCTTGTGGGGAACAGGCGATCATGCTTTTTACTTGACAGGTGCCTGGCATGCCATTGTGTTTCTTAGGGCGAGCTCCTCATTCTGGACCCTTGAAAAGATGCAAGATGGTGTGCATGTACAACTCGGTTCAGATGAGTACCAGGTACGACATTTTGAGTGGGAGGCTTCGGAGTTCGGACCGGGAGTCTGCCGGAAGTTGCGGGCGCAGGATGCCTACCTGAGAGTCTTTATCGAAGAAGCGGGAAGCGGGAACATGGAACAGGTTTTACAGTACATCTCGGAAGAGACGAAGCCCTATGATCTTGGATCGAGCAACTGCAAGCACTTTGCAAGGGATGTCTTCCAACGATTCAATGCTTCAAACAAGCTTTGGGATGGCTGGAAGTAGTTCCATTGAATGGCCTTAGCTTAGACTGATGGATCGCCTGGGTCTGCCATGATGCAGATTTGGCGGCGGTTTATTCTGCTTGTTTTTGCTGCTCTAGGACGTCTTTGCTTGCGCAGCCTCAACAATACATACCTGAGTTCGATAGCAGGCAGTAATCATCCATAAAATCTCTGACTGGCATCTACTTTCTGTGTCTGTGCAATGCTATTACCTCCAGGAAGCTTGAACTGGGATGCGATGCGCGCAGCATTTGTGCCCAAAGGTGGCAGGCTCACAGTCCAAGCTAGTCGCTGGAATGGTGAAGGCATGCCTAAGGCATGCTCTTCTCACCGCGGTCTACCGGATTGCGACTGCAGAGGACTGTTGGAGCTTGTGCGCTGTGAGACTGGTGAAGTTACTAGACCTTTGTCAGGAGACAATTGAGAGCCTGGGCATTTCGCCTGGTAGCAGGCTGGCTTCAGTGTTCGATTCGGCAGATGTCGACAAAGATTCCCTCCTGTCCGACACGGAGCTTGCAACTTTCGAGCAGAAACGTTGCTCCAAAGTTGTCAAAGGGTTCTCTGGGGCAGTTTCCAATCATCATGCAGGCACTGTTGCTGGGTTGCTGGGAATCCTTGGTATGGATAGAGCATGTCGCTTTCTTTCTAACCACTTGCAAGCTCCCACCGCGTATTAGGAGTGGTGCCAGCTTGCTGAGCAGCGCTATGATGCTGCAACCTTTCGAGGTGGGCCCGTTTAAAGCTTCTCTCAGAACTCATTCTTTTCATGGATCTGATGCCTGTACCCTTCTCGCTTGACTGGCAGCAACCAGGACGAGGCTTTGAGGTTTGCACAAAATCTAAGGTGGCCCTCTTCGATGCTGCAAACTGCGAGGGACGCCTGTCAAGCCAGGGTTGGGCATTGAAAGGCGTAACAGGCGTAACAGCAACGCAAAGCCCAAATCATCTAGTGTATCATAACTATGATTCTTGCTGTTATTGAAAATTATGCATTTCTTACTACGGATGTTTGTAGCATCATTCGTGGACTATGTTCACTTCTTGAAGGGAAGCGTGGTAGCATCCACGTCAGGTAACAGCATAGTGGTGAAGAATTCCAGCAGCGAGACACGATGCGCAGAATGCTTCGATGTCTGCAACAAGGAGCCGTGAAGGGAAGAGTGTGAGCATGTTCATGAGCTTATTTGAAAGTAGGGCGATGATAGTGATGGCGATCCAAGCATTGCTATTGTTCGGAGCACTGGTGATAGCAAGAGTACTTGTAGTAGCAACGGCATCAGCGGGCTAGCTAGCTGCAGTGGAATGTCTTCCAGCTTATTTGACTGTCGACAGCGGTCCTCCTTGCCTTAGGGGTGACAACAAGCTGCGAGGAGGGTGAGACGTATGTGACATAAGGAATGCTGCAAGGCTAGCAATTCTGAGGTTGAGGTTGCGGAAAAAGTTCCTTACCTTCTGAACTTTCGTGGGGGCCCGAAACTGCAGGTCCACTTCTTGCATGGGCCCTTCAGGAATTTCCGGGAGGTGGTGAGATGTCTACTATCAACGGGCCGCGGTCTTAGTGCGTTGTCCTTTTCATGAGAAGGGTCTCTCTGGGCTGCATCCAAGGAACCAGGCTTGGAGCGTGTCCTCCCACGTGCGATCTGTGCGGGTAGCATCCGGGGCCGTGAAGGCTGGGCCTGGGCTCTGAGCCAGACCAAGCTCCAGTAGCTCTGGGCAACCAAGGTGGTCCTTGGCCTCTGCCTGGGCACCTGGGCCAGACATGACCAGTCAGTTCTGTAGAGAATATGATGATTTCAGGTTGAGTCCGGGCCTGGAATTGGGTTTGGACCAGCTCAGGCACCTACAATTATGGCGTTGCAGGCAGCGAGGCAACCACGGTCCACACCCAGAGGGATGGCTGCATGAACTTCGGCACTGGACAGGCGCATTGCACCTTTTCAATCTTCCGAGTCGATAACAATAATTGGATCCATAGGGGACTGGTTCCCCTCTTCATTTCGTGGTCTATTCGAGCTTGTGCATCGGTTGGCTTGACAGGCGTTTCCCGTGCGACTTGCACATTTGATATTTGTAAATGCTAGCACGTGCGCTGCCTCGGCTGTTGGCTGCAAGCTACAGAAAGACGAGCTCTTCGGAAGGAATGATACAAGGCTTATTTATGAGAAAGAGGGTTCCAAACGCCACGAGACCGGGACACCTCAGCGGACTGATTCTAGATTTACTCTGGGCTTGTCCGGGGCTTGTGCTGGCCCTCTTGTGAAAAAAACTCTCTTCCGTGTTGCTTTGCGCGTTTGATGGCATGTAACATGTTGTACAGGGTCAATGAAACGAGAAGCCTGCTAGTAAGTCTGGACCGAAAGGCTCCAGCGCATGTTGCTGGAGTCCCGCTGGACCTGCTGGAGCTTGCGGAAGGTGTGTTTCTCAAGGCAGAGCCTTGCCCGGGATCAGGATCTCTTTGTTCTTGTGACATTGGTGAACATCAGTGGTTTGGGTCGCAACATGGATGTGTGTGGTTTTGCGGCTCCAGATGAGGCTCAGCAGCCGTGGCACCCCTGTGCTGCCTAGAACGGTCTATAATCTATAGCCCAGGAATGCTGCGTAGTCCGCGTAGGCAGCACGATAGCAAGAGTGCGTTCACATAGTCTGTTCGCAGGGTAAACAGCAACCTATGTAGTTCGCGTAGGCATTCTAAGTCAGTACAGGCAGTTTTATCCTAAAGGACAAATGCTAACGTTGGCGGTACGGCCACTTCACTTGCAGTTTTGCTGCCCACCTTTCTGAGGACAAAGAGCCGGTTGACCACCGCTTAGATGCCGCAGAGGCCCGGTTGCTTTGGCTGCCATGCAAATCCATAGATGCACCTTCGAAGGGCGGCAATTTTCTGAAAATGTAAATATTATGCACATGCCTTGGTGCACTTGCCATCGTTGCTTGAACAACATTAAAATTCATGTTTTAATGGTTTTCATGGCATCAATCGGTCAGCCGAAACATACAGCACGATTGTAGGATTGTGTTGAAACGAGAGGCAGCGGCGTTGGATCTCGATCCAATGGTGCAAGCTGCTGACCGCAACGGCGAGACTTACTTGATCTGAGTTTCTGCGGCTTGTTGTGTACTCTCGCCGTTCTGACTTGAGGAATCAATACATGTCAGCCTGCAACATGTGTTGGTCGCGCTCCGAAAGCCATTGACAGACGGGGGTCTAAGGATGCGGTTATGAGTATTGAGGAATACACCACTGTGCAGCTTGGCTTCTAAAGGCATAAGAGCATTTGTCCTCAAGGTAGTGTTGTCACTTCACAGGCAGCCCCCAGCATGTTAAGCTCTTGATCTGATTTCTGCTCACAGGAAGATAACCAGTTTGCCCCAAGCTCGCAGCTGTTCTCCTTTCACAGACTGACACGTTTCGCCGTTTGAAGGCTGGTCCATGACGTGGCGCGCACAGAAGCCATGAAGAACTT